GAGCCCTCTCCCATGATCTTCACAGACTTTATTTTTTGATACTGAAATGTCTTCTAAGACATTTCTAAGTACTGTCATGGTTTTCCAGATATCATAGATGATGGCAGAATCCAGGTCAGGACCAACCCATAATGAAAAGATGCTGTGCAATTTTTGTGGAAGGCCATGAATAATGAGGGCAGATGGAAATCACTGGTGATCTGCAGCATCAACTCACTGGATAGGTGCAGCCTATAAGATACATTCATTAAAAAGAATCAGTATGGAAAGCTAAAGAGTAATTTTGAAGAGCATACACAGGCCACAATCTCGTAATTAATTTGGAGCAAGCTACCCATTTAAAGTATTTTTAGTCACATTCATCTCAGTTCTTCACGGTTCTGGTGTTCTATGTGTCCCCAAAGTGCTGTAGGGTCAAGACATAGTAAAAAGTGCTGATTTCACTCATAAAGAATATGAAATAGATAATTATATGGGCAAAGAAACTACCAAAATCTAATTTCCTGTGACTCATTTGCTAGCTGTCACTCTTGCACATGCTTTTTCTGTGGGTTCTTTAATAATGTGACTGATAATGTTAAATTCCAGATGTCACCCTCTTCCATTATATAAAATGGCACTGATCACAGGCAAGCTCTTAATGCTTTCTGTTCTCACTGACACTTGTAAGAAGCAGCCAAAAAAAGTTCTGTCATAACCATTTCATTTCTACAGGGTGTGTCCCACCAGGAGCAAATTGAAGTACCAGGAGAAAGTCAGCCCAGCAGGGAAGCCATGGAAGCCATGTAAAAGAAGTGATGGAAGTATTAATGCAGTAGGTCCTACACCATGGGTAATGTTTTTTCTTGCTTCCTGCTCGTGACCAAAGGGATTAGAAAATGCATGAAGGAAAGGAAAGGAAAAAAAGAAAGGTGTTTTCAAGAGCTGCAGAACTAATCACATCTGTAGACCTCCTGAGAGAATAAGCATTGTCCTCCTTGGTGGGGCATTGATATTATACGCAATCCAGTAAAAAAAAAGCCAGGGACTATTGTCGATCTTGAGAACAACTGATGACAGGGATCACACCTAAGCTCTACGGTCTCCCAAACCAGGCTGGTTCCTGCTCCATATATCAATCCACGCTGTGTCCAGCACTTTCTGGGGCAGGACTTTCTGGCCTATGGCAAAAACATGCCATGGATTATATTTACACTTGAACGGTACAGAGCATTATCATGTACCAAAGCTCAGAAACTTGGCCCGGGTCTCTCATTTATCTATTTTAAATGTAACTACAAGGTTATTTTCCTGTATGCAGTCATGGTAACTTATAGAAATCTTGGTGTTATTCTAGGAGAGTAAGTGGGATTTATTTGACAGAGACAGAATACTATATTATATAAAGTATTATATGTTTCTTCCATAGCTGGAAGAAGCAGCAACAATTTGTGGCACCCATCCATCCATCCATCAGATACAAAACTGAAACAGCAAACTTAGGCCAAATAAAATTTAGGGGAAAACTGTACTATATTTAAGATAATCATTTTAACTTCAAAGAAGTAGTACCAATTTCAATGTCAGTAATACCAAACCACATCAACAGCTTTCAGTGCTTTTGTCTCCTTTTCACCATCATATCTCTTGCTAAGAATAAAATTCAGACCAAATTTTTTAATAGACAGATTCTCAACAGCTTGTGCATCAGGACATATTTGGCAGTATGTGTCTGACAGGAATTTTTCTGCCTCCTAGAAAATTTCTGCTACATATTCATGCATTTCCCATTGAAAGAAACCTGATTCTTGGCCAAAATGAAGCTTGTTAGCAGACAGAACAGGAGGGGTCCTTCTCCCTGCTGCACCTCTGATTATCATAGGTTTTGACTCACACCTGACCTCTGCAAACAGATGCTCTCAAATCCAAATTACTCTACTATGGAAATGCTTTATAACTTGCAATATTGCCAATTCATTGCATTTTTTTAAAAGATTCTTTTTAGACTTTTATATAGCATCCATAGTTTGTGGGAATTTTTTCAGCACCATCTGTCTATCAGAGGTGAAAAAAAATCAGTGTTTTTAAAAAAGTCCGAAATGAATTTGATAAGATCAAATTTTTCTTTTAACATGTTTTCTTCTTTTGACAGAGATCTCACAAATATATTTGCTATTAATGAAAAACAGGAATTAAGAACTGTTTTCTAGTCTAGTTTTCTGCTGAAACCTTTTTTTAAACAGCCACAAACACTGTGAGGAGAGTGACATAGTCACAGGACGGGCTCAGATTTTTTGGGTACTCAGTGCCAGCTGCTACTGAGCTGTTTGTATCTGGGGTCAGTGCAGGGAACAGAGATGGGAATGAACTTCCGTGTGGGTGGGAGCTGTCAGCACCTGCTTCAGAAACGATAACAGGAGAAGTAGAGTAGGACTCTAGCTGAACCTCTTGCTTAAAGCAGGTGCAGCTCTGAGGTCAGATCAGGCACCTCAGTGTTATTTAGTCTAGTCTTGAAACATTCTCAGGATGGAGGCTGCATTGTCCTGGCAACCTGCTTAGATGTCTGACTGTCTTCAGGGGGAAGAAGTCCCTGTTCATACCCAGGCTGAACCTCAAACCTCAGCCCTTTCCACTCAAACTTGTTGTCTTTCATCTTCACGCCAAGCAGCACTGTGAAGATCTAGAACTATACTCTTGAAAACCTCCCTACAGGTATTGGGGAGGCTTAGGGTCCTCCTGCCAAAGCCATCCCTTCTCCAGCCTAATTAGCCCAGCTCTCTCAGACCCTTCAGCTCAAACTATCACGCTGTCCCTGGACCAAACTTGCCCCAATTTATCAATGATGTCCCTGTACTGGGGAAGTCAATACTGGGCACAGTATGTAGACATAGAATAACAAGCACTGAGGGCTGAGAAGCTGTCTCTTAAGTAATTGACCTGTGATGAGCCTGTTGTGGTCTGAGAGATGCATGAGATATCACTTTGCTCCCTCTGTCCCTGTGTCAGTGGCTGCTGCCCATAACTCTCAGTGACAGAAAATATACACATGCACTTCAGCTGTGCCAGGGCAAAGGGGGCTTGACAAACAGCAGTAATGAGGAGCAGGAGAAGGCCACATACTTGTCCTCCTCTGCTTCCCCAACTATGGAGGGTGGTAACATTCAGCGGGCAGAAGGGTTGGAAAACATCACCTCTCATGTAAAGTACTTTGGCCATAAACTTCGAAGTGCTTTCCCAAAAGGATTGCTTGGGATTGCAAGTTGGATTGCTATTCCTGTTTTACAAATCAGGAAGCTGAGGAAAAAGGGAAGGAAGTGTTTTGACCAAATTGATCTAGCAGCTGCTGGCAGAGGTGGGCAGAGACTCTGAGTGCTCCCCATGTACTGCGCTGCCTCTCAGAGCAGGGACCAGCCCTGGTTTCCTCAGGCACACATTCCATGAGTACTCGATGGCTTGGTACAATGACAAATTCCCACTTGGAAATCAGGCTGGTGACATGACAACAACAGCCTTCAAACTGTGCAGATTTGTGGCTTCAAAGCGCGAGTGCTGATGAGAAATACCATGAATTAGTCATGATCTTATCAAAAATATTTTATTTATGAAAGTAGCAATTATAATATACAACCTATACTGGAAGGACATTGAATAATTGCTAGAATAAATACAGGCAATTTATTCAATCTTTTTATAGAATGAGAAGATTTATTTGACGTCTGAATGTTAACCCAAGCTTTAACTTACATCATAAATAGTTAAAAGGCATAGCCAAGTCTTTTTTTTATTTTTACCTTTTCTTTTGCTTTTTTTTTAATACTGTTCTATTTTGTAATTAACATGAATCAATTCTCCAATCATTAACATAATAATATGACTTTCAAGCAATCATGTACCTCAAGATAATCAGACAAATAAGGTAGTGTGTGTGCAGTTCATTCTACAGCAGAATCTATCCATGTCTGCATAAAATAAAGAAGCTGAAAACGCTTCTAAGTTCTTTAAGCATCATATGCTGATTTCTGCTTTACCACAGTGCTTTTAATACCAGAATCTAAAAAGGGCAGCTGGCTTTCTGTTGCTCTTTATAGAGTATATTAAGGCTCAATGCCACATTCCTTTGGCTGGTGAAGGATTGCAGAATTTAGTCCTGAATATTATTTCTCAAAACCATGGTCCAAAATAAATGTCCAAGACTGATTATTAGGCACCAAGGAAGTGATGAATTTGCTAAGCCTCAATGTTTTCTGATTAAAAAATTGGCTTCCTTTCTAGTAGATATGCTCTAGTCAAACACAAATGATTGGGCTCAGTACTGGGGTCTGTATTACACTGGATGTCAGAGAAGTTGATGTTTGTATTTTCTGTAAACTATATGAAGGGCACTGCAGAAATTTTATAGTACACCACACACATTTTGAAAGTGTTGATAAGTTTTTCCTTCCATGTATTTTTTTTTAAATAAAAAATCTGAACTATCTGCTTGGTACTAGCAGATTATTAATAACTACAACCATCAGTGAAATCAACAGCACTTTTGGGTGCCCAATATTTTTCCAGATCAGAAGTTTTTGACTCCTCAAGTCCTATATAAAATCAGTGGGAGTCTTCCTATAGCAATGTCTTTTCCAGTGGCAGAGAGGCCTGCCTTGCCTTATTGTTTATTGTGCATGTCAGGGATATTAAGCTCTCAGCAGAGAATCAAATTTCCCTTTTACAATGTTATCTAAACAAAACCCCCAAATTGCACATATCTACCCCTTTGGCCTTTTTTATGCACAAATATGCTTGTATGCAAAACCTGATAATGTTGGGCCTTTCCTAATAAATGTCTTAAAAGAGCACATTTAAATGCTTTTTCACAGAAATAACCATTCATTAGTTGCAAAAATGCAGAGAGACTTTTTAGTTGCAAAAATGCAGAGACTTTTTATTTTTTCTGTTGTGAACAATATCATTTCAGCAGAAATTTGAGGTGAGAAAGTATGATTTTTTTCCCTAAATATATTTAAAAAGGCTAAAGAACAAAATGTTGGGGAGGCAGCTTTTTTTGGCAGATAGTAAAATATAAAATATGTGATTTAAAAAAAAAGTTGGCTTAAAAATACACACACACAAATAATACAATAATATAAAAATACAGCTCAGCCAATGGCCTCTTAAAATTTACCTTTGGCATTACATTTGGCAGCCTAAAACAAAAGACCCTTCCTATAAACAGAACTATAAAAAAAGAGAAGTTCATAAATTAGGTTGCAAGGGGTTGTAAGGTCCATTTCCGAATTCTCCAAAATCCTTTCCTGTCTGTCCACACACATAAGCATGACCAGTGAGGTATATAGAACGTAACACTGTCAGGCATATGCACAATAAAAAAGTGCATAAACATAGAAGTTCTCCCATTTTCTTGCGAACAGGTCGAAACTGTGTGGTTTGTGTCTTCCCCCCCTTGGAAAAAAAAAATTGTTTTTTTTTCTTACTTTGGCAGGATGAAAATGAACCCAGAGGAATATGTGTCCTATTCCCAGCAGCAGTGATCCATTTCCCTTGGCAACATATGTCTGATGCCACAGATACTACAAGGTCGTTGGGTTGCTTTACAACTCTGGGTAACTTCCCACGGAAACATCATACGTCTAGCACCATGTCGTAGTGTTGTTGCTCTTTCTTCCGCCTGCCACATTTGTTGATAAGAACCATGTACAAAGTCAAAAGCATAACCCAGTAACATGCATAGAGTATTGTGCCAATGATGAGAACTGTCTGTTTTGACTCAGTAAATGGCTTTTTTGATTCCTTGTAAATCGTGAAAATTACGCCACCTAGGAGGATTGTAAACCAAATGGAGACTGGAATGAGTCCTATAAAATTAACTACAATGGTTTTCCTTCCTGATGTGCCCCACCCTGCTTTGTTTATCGTGGCAATTGCAAACATCTTTGCTGGCAGTAAACTTGACATGTACAACACTGAGTAGAGTGACATGAAAACCATGACAATGTTGCCCCTAAGGAAGCTGGCAAAGGAAGACTTTATCAGGCCAACTAACTGAACTGTCAACAGGAAGAGGAGGATGTTCCAGATTTTTCCCCTGTAGAAGAGCTGAATGACTGTGGCGATAAGAAAGAAAGGAAAGAATCCAGTGATTACAGCTTCATAGGTCATCCACAAATGGTGCTTGTGGAACCACATTGCATTATAAAGCCACTCTCTAAAGTAGGATTTACTCCAGCGCGTCTGCTGATTCAGCCACCTGAGATACTCTATCGGTGTTTCGGTAAGGCACTTGGATCTAGCCGTGTATTTTGTTGCATAGCCCAGACTTAGCACTCTGTTAGTTAGATGCCTGTCATCTCCAAAGCTGCACTGGGAGCCCATAAATTCTTGATTGTACCAATCTTCCACAAATTCATGGAGTAAAGAGTTTCTGTACATTCCCAGAGGTCCGCTGATGCACTGTACACAGCCAAAGTAGGACTGACAGGCTCTTTCTATGTTAAACGCCATCCAGTATCGCACGCTGCTCAGAAAGGAGATCCAGGAATCGTATTTGTTCAAAATCTGCAAAATAAAAAAAGTTTTCATTTTAGATGAGCTCTTGAGACAGAAAATATGCAAATTGGATTAATAAGAAATGTGCAGAGACTAGAGAACCATTGGACCAAAGGTGGTGGGAACCTCACTCCTGAGTCCAGCTCATGGCAAACCCAGGAGTTACACAAACAGCTCAGCCAAGACATTGACAGGAAGGGTGAGATGAAGCCTTCAAAAGTATGTTCCGCCAAGACATTTTCTTTTTTTTCACACACTTTCCTTTCTCCACCAAGAAACTTCCTTCTTTTCTGTCTCGTTCTTCCCTCCCCTTTGTCCCCACTTAAAGACCTGCTGGACTCAGACATTTCTAAGAGCTTGTGGAGTCCCACACATGGCCTCCTGCTGCTCTCCTCCCCACACCCATCTTTGGGACTCACAGAAGTTCTTCCAACCTTCCTAAAGCTCTCGCACAGGAGCATGAGAAAAGCTGACCACATGGTCTTTGCCCTAGATTTTTGGTATTGTAAGGCCCCAGAAGCTTGACCCTGGACTGTGTCCCCATATCCAACAGTAGGCCCTCTGAGGAACAACCTGTTCTGCCTCTGCAGTACCAACCCTGTTACTTTGTCCCAAGACATAAGGTGATATTCCAGTAGTCTGTAGTCCCTTGACCTCCATAAAGCTTTCAGTCTTCTGCACACCCCAAAGCTCACTTGAAGCTCAGACCTACACTTAAAATACGACATAAGCACAGTCTAGGAGTCTGAACACTCAGTGGAGGTATGAGTGCCTGCAGATGTACAAGTCCATGGTTTTGCATCCAGGTTCTCAGCACACAGCTTGTGCCAGAGGATGCAGCAAGGAAGTGTGTGGCAGGGTGGCTGTGCCAGCTTTGAACCTATGTCTTCTCAGTGTGGGGATTTTCAGGGGGACCTGTGGCCTTCTACAACTAGAAAGCATTACCCTGTAACTAAAAAAGAGTAGTCTTTGTTCTGATGACCCTAATTTCTGTCAGGTGTGAAGGCCGTGGGCCAATCTTGTCTCTGTTTCAGTTTAATTCCAGAATATTTTAGAAGCAGCAGGGCTTGGAGATAGATACAAACCTGGCTCAAATGCATTTGGTGTATGCTGGAAAATGAACTGGGAAAAAAAGCACAGAGCCTTCACCTTTCCTCCCAGAGGACACATGTCCTTCCCACCTCTCTCTGCAGATGCTTATGAACGTTCACTGTCACAGCTGAACCTGTGCTGCCTCCCTCCACTTGTACTCACACATGCCTGGCATCTCACATGCATAGGGTGAGTGTGACACCTGGTTTGTAGCCAGTCTAGAGCTCCAAAGTTATTCAGGTTTCTCTGTGATCCTAATTTCTGGAGCTGAGAGCCACATGCCTGAAATACTTCTGACTACTGGGGCATTCATTAGTAAGTGCTTGCCCATATAGATGGCCTTTCTTCTCTGTGTCACATAAAAAGCCCAACTGAGCATGGGGGACTGATCCTAAGGCCTATTGAAATATTCATACACATTTTTCTTTATAAAGTGCAGCAGAAGGAGTTGTGTCAAAAGGAACCAACAGTCTTCTGCTGTAGCTGTCAGCCAAACTTGGCAATGCTGGAAATCCTAACAGATGTGGAGCTAGTCTGACGTAGGAGTTTTCCATTGTCCTGCCTGCCAGAGAAGTGGGGGAAACCCAGTAACACACAGAGTGCATAGTGCACAGCATTTCAAAATGTCTTTTATTTCTAACAATCTTGGATGACAGTAGTAATATAATAGAAGTACTTGAGATGCTGAACATGGTTTTGAGAGACCTGTTCTCAGTTCCCTGCTCCCCTATAGCTTTGCTTTGGTACCTTGGGCAAGCAGTTATACCCAGAGACTCAAAGATGCCACAACAGTCCTGACAATGCCAGTGCCCTTCTTTTTTACATATATGAGGCAGAATAATATTTGTTTGCTTGCTGTGGGTGTTAAAACCACACAATGCTCATGTACAAGAATAAGAGTTTCCAGTCAATTGACAGAAAGATCAAGGTATGATAAGAGCCTCTATAATGGTATCACATATCATATATACACATATAGTATATAGACATCTAGTATATTCAGTGCTATTCCAGGCAGGGAAATCAGTTGCAATGCAAATAATTGCTGAAACCCCTCTGTTAATCTGAAAATTGTTGTACTCACCTGCACATCACCTCCAACTCCTCCAACCATTGGATCCTCTTCTAAAACCTTTACCATCTCCACTGATGAGGCTGGATCAAGCATTGTATCTGAATCACAGACCTACAAGTAAGACAAAACGAGAACAAAAATGGGTTAAAGAAGAAAACAAAAATCATGTGAGTGGTTATAATGACTCTAAATGCATATTCTCCTGAATGTAATTAAATCTGACTTTGGAGACTGCATTGACATTTCTGTTAAAGGCCATTTGTACCAGGCAGCAAAGAGTGTTGCTGAGTGAAACAGAGACCTTGTTAAGGTTGTGCCCTCCAACAATCCTCTCTTCTGAATCAGCTCTGGTTTTTTACTAACACAGTGGGCTGGCTTTGTTGAGTAAGATATGGGGCACCACAGAGTGAGACAATGTTTGTGGGTGTGCAGCAGATTCCTGTTGAGCCCTAGTATAGGGTTTCCCTGCATCAGCTGCACAGTTGGAGCACCCTGGTCAAATGTTTCCCACTGCCATATGAAGGAAGGAGTGAGGAGGTAAATTCCAGACACTTGTTATAAAAAAAGAAAGAAAAAAGTCAAGTAGGAGTCTGGTAAGAAACCTAATAGTTCTTTCACTCACAGAAGACTTTAGCAATTCATGTAAGATATGTATCTTGGATTCCAGCACAAATTCATTTTTAATTTTAGATGTACGGTGTGTTATTAGTAGTGCCTTGATTTGACATTTGATATATAGAAATTATTCGCTATTTTTCTCTGGCATTCTTATAAAAAATATGTAAGGCCAGAAGGAATGAGTCTCGAAGTTCAGTACTCCATGAGATCAGGGCAGAAATAGATGACACACGCAAGGCATTTCAGCTACACAAACACTCCTAGTCAACTAAATTCTGTGTACATTAGGAAATTGGCTTTCCCCTGGAGAGTAGGAGGAGGGCTCAGACAGGCTGGCCGGTCTGCAAGGCAGCTGGCATTGCTTTCATTTGCTCTGAGGAGAACAGCACGGGCTGCAGCCTGTTTAAAAAAAGTGGGTGTTTCCTTGTCGCAGTTGCTGGTGCTGAAAGCATTGCCCACATAGTGCGTGAACTCACTTCACAGACGCCCAGGAACTGGAGCAGAGACTGTCCCAGAAATCCCCCTCTGACTGGCTGAATCCTGACCTACAAATTCTCATACTGCTTCCAGTTTTCCCCACACTGATTCCTGTGGTTTTGATGGGGTCGGTAGGTGCTAAAGTCAGTAGCTCTGCATGAACAACATATTAAGACAGATTCTGCTGAGACTTTGTATCAGGTATCTTAATTTTGGTGCTCTTCTGTGCAAACTTTCAATTCAACCCAAGCCCTCTCACTCCAGGGGAGCAGTAACCTTCATGTCTGGTCTATAAAGGGGGAGGAGAGCATTTTGAAGCTCTGCTATAGATCAGGCTCAAGAGGAGAGGTTACCCAGAATAGTTGGGCTGCATAGTTTGGGATGCAGCTGGGAGTCTGCCAGCATGCTCCCCTCCATGCTCACTCAGAGGGGGCCAAGAGGATAAAGGTGATGAAAGCTCTCATATTTCCATCAGAAGCCACAAGCATCTCCAGCTTGCCCTAACTTGATGCATCCATCTCTTCTCCTCAAAGGACTCATCCCAAGGAGCACCTTTGTAACCTGGCCAAGGTGTGCCTCCAGCTTTAGTGGAAAGCTGTCATCAGTGGCAGTGCTTGGTGATAGAAAGGGAGCAAAACAATTCTACTGAAGAGGAGAAAGGATGCTTGTATTTCACCAGGGGCTTCCTGGAAAGACCTGTTGCTGAGTGTTTTGCGCAGGTAATCTGTAGTTTGCTGAATTCCCAGGGTGCTCAGGCAGCTTTAGGCATCCCATTTCTTGTGACCATGAGTGGTGGGCTGGGATCAGCTCCCCCCGCCAGCCCCTCTGCTTTCCCTCCAGAACCTGTCCCTTGAGCAGCCACCACCTCCATCAGATGCATTTCTTTATAGCAGAAAGGCCTGCCCATGAGAACTCTCACTAATATGAAATGAGGAAAACACTGGATTTATTTACAAGTTACCATTACATGTCCTGGGCATGCCAGCACAGTGGACATGTCTGGGGTTTTGGGACAAACCTAACAAGCCATTATTTTTCATCTGGATGAGGTTTTTGCATGTGAAAAGAGGACACTCCCAAATACAGACACTTAGGAACTCAAATAAAACACACTGAGGTCTGCCCAGCCAGGGGTGGCCCAGGACAGCCTAAGAGGCAATTTGCCATCTTTCCACATAAAGGCTGAGTGACCTAAAAATTACAGCCTTGGGTCACAGAGTTGCATGAAAGGGACGATTGACCTTAAGCGAGCTGTTCAGATACTTTTTGTAGCCAGTGACAGCTTATCCAAGCTGCTTTGAGAAGTTCAGACTGTGCTGGACTGTCCGCACAGGTACCTCCATCAAGCCAAGATGAATTGTACCCTGCCTGCCACAACCAGCTCTGCACCAATGACACCTGCCAATTCAACTCCTCCACCTGATTACTTGCACACTGTTAACCTCCTCAAGGATGGAAATAAGCCTAAACAGCAGTTTCAGGTACTTAATGAGACACAACCAATGGCAACAGCTTGTTATCTGCACTGGTCTGACAGCTTATGGTTGCCTGTCCATAATCCCAAGGTGGGCTTTTAAAAACCGTACAATTTCAAGGCCTACAATTTCAGGGAGGGCAGTGGTGCTGAATGGTCCACTTTTTTAAGTGCTTTATCATTGATGCAGATTGCTTAGCCTTTAATATGTTGGGCCTGTTTAAAGTAATTTACCCTGGGTCCCCCCAAAGAACCATTTAAAATATCTCAACCTTCACTCATTCATAAAACAAAGCCACATTTTAGCTACATTCCTTCATGACTGTGTAGTCTCCAGGGCCACCAAGGTGCTGCATTTCTACTGCAGATGTAACTGTAGATGTGACTGTGGCATTAGTCATTACTGCAAACTTTGCTCAGAGCAGTATTACAGTCCCTGATTAATTCATTAGGACTTCTGAGCCCAGTCAGGAGTGTTAACTGACCAGAAATACCTCTTCCATTTTCTCAGTTTATGCTATGACTGTTGAAATAGAAACATTTTTTCCAGGTTCCCTGAAAAATGCAAGACCTGGATTAAGGGAGGAAACTTGCAATGAATCAGCTTCCTCTCTGCCTTCTTTCTCTGCAATCTGGTATTTCTGTGTGAAGCGATTATAAACCCATGCTAATAGAGAAAATCAGCATTTTTATCCCATCATAGTTCCTTACAGCACAGAATCAAAGTGCAGACAATGGAGAACTTAAGGCCACTCTTTTCAGAGAATAAATTAGTTTCAGTCTGAGAAGTGGTAGGGGACGGGTTTTAAATCTTCGCCTTACTCTCTCAGCTCCAATAACAGAGCGGTTCCTGGCATTCTTCAGTTCCTGCCCCTCCTGTGCATGGAAGACTCACTGGTCTCAGCCCAGCTACTGGCAGGCTCTCCACATGCCTTGGACACTGCACGTGGATACTGTGCTGTGCAGAGCATGCACACACCCACACAAGGCTGGGCACAGACCCCAGAAACACATATGGCTCAGCCATGCAGCTGCCCTGAGCCAGCAGAGAGCATCTCACGGGGAGCTGCTGCTCCACCGGAGGAGACTGCTGGATGCTCTGAGTTTGGGAGAAGGCAGGAAGAACTGAGGGTAGTTCATTAGGAAGATCATCTCATATTCAGTGGTATTAGTCAAATGAGCCTTGTTGGCCTTGAATGATAAGGAAGGGACCTTAGTGTCCAGCTAGAGATTCTGATCCCACCCACCTTCCTTATACATGACCTCTTCCCCTTCCCACAATCAGCAGAGCTGTTTGCAGGAGTAAGAAGTGCTCCCATGTAAGTAAGACAAAAGCACAGACAATCTTTCAGGGGATCCAAGGCAGCTGGAAAGAAATGTGCCTCTGCTGCTTTGAAAACAGGGAGAGAGGACCCAGCCTAATTCATTTTTAAGTGATAGTGTCGTAAGAGCTTTAAAGGCCAAGTCGCGGTGAGTGAGGTAATGCAGCTGTAAATGATGAAGCAAAAGCTCCTTCAGGCTTTAGCTGGAGAAATCTTTCTTTCAAATCTGCACATTGACCCTTTTATTGAATACTCCACATAGCCTTTGATGCCTTTAAAATAGCCTCATGTTTTTTACAGATTCCACCATTGCTCTGAGATATTCCCTAGTGCCATCAAATACCTGTCTGTCTGCTCACATGGGGCCACTAACAACCTCACAAAATAAAGCCTTACCCAAGATCTTAACCTACAGGAGCATAGACGGGGTTTTCAGGAGGCCACTGTCTTTGTGTGAAGCAAAACCATTTAGATGAGGGGGCAGTACTGAAGGTTGGGGGAGGATTTCGGATTTCTCCGGTAGCTGGTGCACAGATTTAACATAGTCACAGATAGACAGGCCGTTTTAAAAGCTAGCAAAATACCCTTTTAACGGTCAAGCTGTTTCCAAACAGACTGAAAGGAGCACTGTGTTCATCAGGGACTAGGATAGCCTCTAACATGCTGCACAAAATATACAAAAGCTGCTTTCTTTCAAAGTGTGTTTGAATTGGCACTGACCTGATGCTCTAATACCTACCTGTACATAATCCACGCTTCTCCCCAGTGCTTTGAATGCTGTGTACATTACTTCTCTTTTTCCACCCCATTTCTGCATGATGCAAACACTTTTGTTGGACAGGACCAGCTGAGATACGTGTTGCATGCTTTCTCTGTGAGACTCTTCCGTCTCACCTGGACCTTTGTCGTGGAAGTTATTACTCCAGACATAAGTGGCACATGTGTCCCTACCCATGATTTCAGTGAAAATGTCCATCATGTAAACGTCATCTTCTGAGTTCCCATCAATGACCATAACAACTTTAATTCCAGGGTAGGTCAATCTTTTCACAGAAAGTAAACATTTTCTTAAGTAGTCAGGATCCTCTTGATAGGCAGCAATACAAAGGGCAACTGTTTTGTTCAGCTTGATTGGAGTCTCTAGCGACCGTTTCATTTTCCTGTGCTCTAGGTAGGCAAACAGGCTTTGGATGATGAGATGTGATGCCAAGATAGCACCATAGAGTCCAAAGGAGAAGTAGTAGTTGTCTGTTTGGATGAACTGGTAGCCTACAATGTAAGCAGCGGTGATTCCCAGCAGGAGGGACACCCCGAAGAGTGTGGTTCCAAGTATTCTCAGGATACATATAAACCTCTCACAATACATCTGCAAAGAAGTAGGGAAACCGTTAGCAGAGCCACCACTTGCTGGTGTAAGATCTCATAAGTGGTTCACGTGGCTACAACACAGATCTCAGCAGCAACAGATACACCCTGAGCTTCTGGCTCACAGACTTACGGCATCACCTTGCTCAGCATAACATCTCTTTGCAGTATTTTCTGCATGTAAAGCATGACCCAAATACACTTAGTGTAGCAGAGATGTTTGCTATTTGTAATGTCCTCACAGAAGTTGCTGTCTGTGTCAGGATCTTATTTTGGCAGCCTGGGCTTGCTGGATGAGATGCTCTGTCATATTTCCCTGAGGAGGTTGGAGAAGGGCTCTTGGGCCATCACTTGCTTCATACAGTTACAGGCGAGTGGAACAGCTGAATGTCTGGGCAGCCCCTCCTCATCCCCCATCCATGTCATGACCGCATCCCACCCTGAATTGTTTCGGTCACTTAGTTATGTTTGCAAAAATATTGGAAAGACATTCTTAAAACAGATGTCTGAATGTATTTATAATTTTTTAAACAGATGTCTGACTATATTTATAATTTATATTTATATAATCAGACATCTGCTTTAAAAGGTCTTCTCAATACCATTGCAAAAATGTATTATTTATACATTTGTGTACATAGATATATGCACACGTGAGCATGTGCGTATAGGGGCTAAAGCTTGACTTAGATTAAGTCTGTGGCAAAAATACTCATAAATTTAACAGAGCCAAGACTCCACCCTGGACTCAGAAATTCCTTAGGACATCAGTTGATTCTGACCACTTCTACATACTTAGGTTACCTGCCTATAAAATCTTCTAACCTAAGCTCTGGGCTGTGGCTGGCATGGAGGGTGCTCTGGTATTCTTGAGACAAACAGTGTAGACAGGCAGAGGCAGACTATATTGCTACCAAACTGCTTTCTCTTGACAATCACATTAACAATTTTATGCTTTCTCAGAATTACAGGAAGTTAATGACAATGTTTTCTGTCACTGGATGCATTTAATGTGAAGGACATAAAACAGATAATGTCTGTTTAAGGTTAACCCAGCAAGTGTGTTGCAAGTCAATAAAGCTCATGCTTGAATATTTTGCTGAAGTAGATCCTCTCAGAGTACTGGACTTAATATTTGTGTTTTCTTGCTATTATTCATGTTTTCCCTGCTGCTATCTTCTTGCTCATTTGCTGATCATATTTGTTTCACCATCTGTTGGCCAAAGCTGAAGTTGGAACAGGACTTCCTCACCTCATATATGTTTTTAACTCTTCATTGAAAAATTACTACCAAGCTACAGCAACATAGCTGTCATCAGTTATATATGTCTGACAAGTTAAAGGCTTGGAAAAAAAAAGTCAACACGGAATCACCTTCCAAATCAAAATAAAACTAGATGAGCATGAAGTCGGAGGTTACAAAGACTTTGCTTTTTTTCCACTGGCTATTTAGGGTCTTAAATTTCAAGACAGAAGGAAGCCTCTTAAATGTATATTTGGAGGCACTGTTAAAGAAATCGGACCCCATCTTTATGACTTCCTTGAATACTTATGGCTGGGCTCTGACAGGTGCTGTAATCATCCACCATCCCTGCTCTGGCCTGTCTGAAAATTTTTCACAGTGGGGGTGATAAAGAAGCCTAATAAAAGATATGCTTACCTCCACTGGTATATATGAATTAAAACCCAGTGCCCAAATTAGACTTGCTTTAGAAAAGAGATTAAGTAACGGATCCCCTTCTAAATTACCTTAAAGTCAAATAGCTTGTGTGTTTACTAATTCCTCAAGCATGCAAAATGTCACAAACATCAAGGTAAATGTCTCATTAATGGTGCAGCTGTACTCTGCTTTCCCTTTTGGGGTTTATCACTTCTTTTCTCTTGTCAGAAATAGAACATTTGTATTAGTGAGTAGGGGCCAGAGTCTGCTTACATTAACAATTATATGGCTGAAATAAATGGACCGCTTCGATGGGTAGGAGTCACAGGATTTAGATGAAGATCTGGAGTGGTTACATTTGACTGCCTATATACTGTACTAGGCATCTTTTATACTAATTTGTTATTGCTTGTCTGTACCTGTGAAGTACTTCTGCAAAAAAAAAGGAAAAAAAGAATAATTCTCTGATCTTGTCATTACAGCCCAGCTTCCCTCTGTTACAAACCCCCAGTCTTTTAAAATCAAGAAATGGACTTCTGGTGCTAATAAAACAGCATTTTTTTCTATCCTTTCACTGTCATCCTTAGGAAAATAAATGGTGTTTTGATCTAAATTCCTGGCTTTCATCAAAGAAACTTTGCTCTTTGTATGTGCAATTGAGGTTTTTATGTATAGTGTTTTAACTGACTGAATCTCAAGGAACTCTGGAAAAAGTTGCTCAATATTCTCAAGCTTTAACACGTGAGCTATTGATAGCTTGCCCAGCAGAAATGATCTTTATCAACTTGAACATGCCCAAACAATGGCAAAGAAGCCAAAAACTCTCCACCCTTCTCCAGTAATTGAGCCAAAAGTAAAAGGAAATGATGCTTGTACAAGTCTGGGACCAAAAATGAACTGCTGAGTCAAATACTAACACCAAGGGTAGGGAGCAGCTGCATTAGAGATTTTTAGGTCAGACAGTGCTGTTATGAGCATCTAGCCTGGCATAACACAGTGAAATATAATAATTCTACTTTGCAATTTGGGCACCTAAATCCTTTACACACATCTTCCCCTAACCCCATGGTGTTGAGCCCAGTATGAGCTTTATGCAGCCTCCAGCAAACAGACTCCAGGTTTGTATAAACAAGATGAGTGTACGTAAAGAGGCTTCAAAGTCTGCTATTGAGCAATTTGTTGTCATTATATTGCAGCTGTTTACTTTCGTGGATGGAGCTGAGCAGTGCTCACCAGCACATCTAGTAGAAATTAAATGTGAAAGTCATATGCTAAATCCTAATGCTGTGTAGGCTGTTGCTGATTCACTCACACATTTTGATTCACTAAGAGGTCCCAAGGATATATGTGCCTTGTAGTGACTGTACAGGAGGAGGCAATGTGCCTTTCTTTGGATGCTCTTATGGAAAAGCATGGTCAAGAAATGAACTCTTGCATGTACTCAGCATCAGAGTCCACCTAGTGAACTCTTTGGCATTGTGTCTCTTTTGGCACCCTGATAAAGCCACAAGAAATAGGATCTTCCAACCTATGACAAAGGAGAACTTACTCTACATTAATATCAAGAACTGGCATGACTAAAAGTTGTAGTCTTCTAACATCATTTTCAGAAAAAAAATCAGGTTAACAAATGAGTGATATACCTACCCTCTACATATAATGATGGAGGTATTAACTGCAGCACTAGAGATCACACTCCTTTCTCAGACTGAATAATGCCTTAGATCTCAAATTAGAAGAACATAGCAAAATATGCTTCAGTTCTCTCTATTCTGAAAAATATTTAGGCTAGTAGTTGACTGTAGTTATTGTACATAGACCTAACTTTAATAAGATCTAGACACTTGATTGAAATTCAGCAGGTTCATATGTCTTGCTTTGAGCTGGGTCTTTGGTCTTTCCTCAGCAAAGAATGCTGGTGACTTCTGTGGTAAAACACCACTCCAAAATCATGTAGCAGGGTCTGTCCATATGGTTATTAATCAGTTTTCATGGATCCCTGACAGTAACAGGAACTGAAGACAGCAGAAGTCAGGAGGCATAGAGAAAAAAAGAAAAACGTATTTTTTTACTAATACATCAAGAAGGTAACAAACAGATAGGGTCAAATACATATCCAGAAAATGTATGTGCATTGGTGTCTGAAGACATCAATATTATTTGCAGTCTCTTCACTTATTTTAAAGGAAGAAACCAGGTGGTACCTGGCATCTGCTGATACAGGACATGGAACCAGTGACTGATGGGGGATCAAACTGAACTTAGGTTTGCTTGTAACAAATGGGGATGCAGCTCACTACATCATCTCTGTCAGAAATCGTCTTTCATGCACAACACTCAAACATTGCCCTGTAGTACTTCTGGATAGTTTTCCCCAGAATATTAAAAAGCAAGAGGGGGAGACAGAAAGTTTGTACATCATGTGTAATGATTTGGAAGGTTGTTTGAAAGAATTAGGACTTATTAATTCCAAACATTTGAAGACATTTTTAAAAATCGCAGCCATAATCTGCAAAAGTCAATATCTATCCAGGAGACAACAGTAAAAGTTCAATCACAAACGTGCTCATTTTTTGCCTGTATTGGATTTGGCTGAGATGAAGTTAATTTTTCCCATAGCAGTCCTCATAGTGCTATTTATAGCTAGGAAGGTGTTGAGAACACACAAGTGTTTTGGCTACTGCTGAGCATCTCACAGCATCCAGGCTGTCTCTCCAATGTTTCCCCTACACCAGTTTACTAGGGGTGGGCAAGATCCTGGGAGGTGACATAACCAGGAAAGCTGACCCAAACTGACCAAAGGTTATTCCACACCACATGACATCTGCTCAGATATAAAAGCTAAAAGGAGGAGGAGGGGGAGGAATTAATTATGACTTTTTTTTTCCAGAGCAACTGCTACCTGTACTGAAGCCCTAATTCCAGGGAAGTGGCTGAACATCACCTGCTGACGAGAAGTAGAGAATAAATGTCTTGTTTTCCTTTACTTTCTACACAGCCTTTGCTTTATTAAGCTGCCTTGATCTCAACCTACCTGGTGATCTTCCATCTTATTTTCTCTACCAACATCCTGCTGAGGAGAGAAGAGATAGAGCAGCTGGGAGGGCGCTATGCAGCCAGCCAAGGTCCACCCACCACATAAAGGTTCAAAAGATCTGTGCCTCTCTCTAGACATCTAGGGCTATGGTCACATCAGCAAATAGTCTAATACTACAGAAACAGATCTGCAATGAGGAAGAATTGGTGCTAAGGGCCCAACTCCATCCTCCATACATTTTCATGTTTTACTCTGAACTAAGTATAGTCAGACTCCATGGATTAAAAACCTGAAAAGTGTCCCCCAGGGGTGTAGCTTGCAATTAGGTCATTCAAGAGGAATCCAGTTTGAGTGCCAAGTGATTGCTTTGCAATAGAAACTAAAGCAATTTAGTTGGTGGTAGTGCACTTGTAGCATTGACTTCAGTAGCACACTCTCGATTCAAACTAAATTGATAATACAAATCAACTTTTCACACAAGATCCACAGGTCAGATTTGTCTGCAACCATTGTTGAAACCAGAAGTGCTGAGCACAGACAACCTTTGAAAATGTCTCATTTTTACGTGCTTGTATCAAAGGCGAACTCTTGAATATGTACTGGACCTTAATGCTGAGGCGTTGGATTCAGCAAAACACATAAGCATGCCATTAAAGATAAGTGTGCACTTAGGTATTTTTGCAGAAGAGGGAAATCAGTGGATAATATATCTTGCAGTTCTGTAGTAAAGGTGTAAAAAAAAAAATCTTTCTCTGTGAAGATGCTATTTCCGGGACACCCAAGATAAAAATGTATCTATATGTTTGAGAAATTTATTATACAGATTAACCTCCCTTATGAAGGTTGTTAGATGGGTCAGTGTTAACCACTGCATTTCTTATGTTAGAGAATCTAAGAGTTGATCAGGACCCAGATAATTTGGATTTGGTTCCTAGTGTTGTTATTCATGTGCGGGATAACCTTAGGTAAGTGAATTCACCTCTCTGTTTCAGCTTCCTCACCTGTAAAATGGGAATCATGATCATGAAGGAAGTTTTTGGAGGTCTACAAAACCCTTCTTAAGGCTTAGGTTACTGATATTTTTGCAGTGTAACTCTTTCTGGGGTGATATGGGATCCGCCAGTTCTCTAGTTACCCAACGCACCATTTCCTATTTTCCTTGCCTATATTAACCTGAAAGTATACTCAGTAGGGATTTTTCTGCAACAAAAATGCAACTCTCATTCAGTAGGATGCCTGAGATCAGTGAGGTTGACACTCTAAAGGCCAACACACATGGCTATAAGTGCATACAGCTACCAAGGGCTATTTTGCTCACAATCGAAGAATGCCATCTTTATAAGCCTTAACCCCCCCCTCCTTACATATGAGAATAATAGCATCGACTTCATCAGAGAAACTGCTTCAATTACACAAGTGTGTGTGTGTGTGTGTGCATCTGTGTGCGCATGCACATGCTGTATCTGGCCCTACACACACACACTCAGTGTGTGTACATGGTGTTGGAGGCTTACAATTTTTCAGCCAATATTTAGATTCATTATTAGCCTCATTTTGATGGCAAATTAAATCATTTATCCTTGGAGTACAAATTATTCCAAGTACCCATTAATTACAAGCACAAAGTAGCTGTCCAGACTCCCTTTTCTATTCTACAGTCTGTAGAGAGGAAACCAAAGAATTATGCTCCATCTGTACATATTTATTACAGCACAGTTACCATATCTGGTACTTTTGGTTATTTATCACTTCCAGATTTTGTTATGCTATTGATCTTCTGCAAAGGGCTCACATTAGACTAAAATTAACTCTGGGGTTAAGTTTAAAGTAAAGAACAGGATTACTAATGATGGCAAAGTGTATCTGTATTCACAGGCTTTGGTCAGCAAATCAAGAATCCCCTATCTGATTAATGTATGTTTCTCACTAAACTGCCTAAATTTAGTCTCTTACAGGTTTGAGTAACCAAAATGGAATGAATTTTACAGCTGCTGGTTGGATTTGAGTGTAACGTAGACAGTGATACACTAGTTGTTAAATTAGCAAAAAGAAAAGAAAAGCAAACCAACAACAACTCCCCCCAGACAAATGCTCTAAGAAATAAATAAAGGAGTAAATCATACTGGTACTCAGATATTTTGGACTGTGGTTAAACAAAAATATAGTTCAGAAATACTTTCTGGTTGCCAGTTATGAAGTCCCTGGATGCACAAACTTGACTATTTCATTACTTAATCCAGCAAATAAATATTTATTTAGTGTATACAGCTTATTATCTTGCAATTAGGTTATAAAGCACAGGTCATACCTTGTTTGACTTAGTCAACACCCACTACACTGAATGGAGGACTACTTTACTGCTTTATACACTAATCTTAAATAGCAACACCTTGAAGCAAATGTCCTTTCATGCCACAAATAGTTTTTTGCTAGTGAACTTGCATGGAAAACTCCACTGAAACCAGTAGAGTTGCTCTTCCTACTGGGAAAATCTTTCCTCAGGTTTTTCTCTGCTTGCATGAGGGGTAAGAAAGATTTTACTACCCTGAAATGAAATCCTGGCTTTATTGACACCAGAGACAAAACTCCTCTAGCCTAGGAGTTGCTGAATTTTGCAAAGTTTTTCAGGGGAAAAGAACATATTTCACTGCCATCACCCTCAGGTGAAGTAACCTAACCAATCCCCAAAAGAACCACTGAGGCATCCATGTTACATGCAACGTGTGCTTTTGAAAAAGTGCATGGGTGCCGATGGAAAAATGATCCTTGAGGAAGGAGACTATGAAGCCGAGTGAAACAAGAGGAGCAGCTGAGCCCTGGGAGATGTGGGATCACTGCAGCCCTGAAGAATCACAGAACTGTTGGGGTTGGAAGGGAGCTCTGGCAATCATCCAGTCCAACCCCCCTGCCAAGGCAGGGTCACCCAGTGCAGGTGACACAGGAACACATCCAGGTGGGTTTTGAACGTCTCCAGAGAGAGACACTTCACAACCTCCCTGGGCAGCCTGTTCCAGTGCCCTGCCACTCTCAATGGAAAGAAGTTATTCCTCATGTTGAGGTGAAGCTTCTTGTGTTTTAGTTTATGGCCACTGCTCCTCATCCTTTCACTGGGCACCACCGACAATAGTCTTGCACCATCCTCTTGGCACTCACCTTGGAGATATTTATGTGCATTGATGAGATCCCCCCTCAGTTTTCCCTCCTCTAGACTAAGACAACGCCCATCAGGAGTGTTGTACTACATTGGGGTCCTTTCGGGGGAAGGGAAATGGGGTAAATTCTCTCTCTAGGTCCATTTCACCCTTCTGCCAGCATTACTACGGAGTGTGGCGAGGTGAGTCGCGGCCGTGTCCGAGAGGCACGAACGGACGCTCGGACAGGTGCCGAGCAGGGCTGTCCGGGACAGAGGGACGCGGTTTTCAGGCGGGAGGGGCCCGGGGGCCGCGCAGTTCCCTCGGGCGGTGCCGAGCGCTCGGCGGTGGCCGCTCTGAGGGGGATCCCCGGCCCCGCGCCCGCGGGGGCGGCCTGCGGTGCGGTCACAGAGGGGGTGGGGCCGGGGAATTCCCCCGCGCGCCACGTCAGGGGGGCGGCCCGCTCCGCCGGGATGGGGGGGTCTGTGCCCGGGTGGCGGGACCGCGCCGTTGCGGGGCCGTGCGGGACCCGACAGGGCCGGCCCAGGGTTGTGCTGGGCGCTGCCTTTCGCCCCCCGCGAACTACGGACCCTTCCCTTCGGCCGGCCCCGCCCGCCAGGCGGCGGGCGGGGGCCGCGGAGCGGGCGTGCGGCGCTGGAAGCCGCGGGCGCCCCGTCCCCCCGCCCCCGCATCCCGCCTCCCCGAACCTTCTGAGGTCTCGGGAAACCGCCCTCCGCGCTCGGCGCGGTGCCCCAGCGGCTCGGGAGCGCTGGTTTTCCCCGCTCCGGGCGGGACGCCCGCCCCACTCCAGCCCACCGCCCGCCGGCCGTCGCTCCCTCCTCAGTCCCATCCCTCCCGCCCGCTCCTGTCGGCGTCCCCGCCGTGCCCTGTGCACAAGCGGGGAATGGCCGGAGAGAAACCCACCTGGGCTCTCAGCTGGTCTCGCCTTTTCCCCCTGGGCTTCAGCGGAGCAGCTGCCTAACCTGCTCTAGAGATTTTAATATTTAGGAGCTATTTGAGAGGTTTTGTTTTTGGTGCCTCCCCCCCCCCACCCCCCCCACCACCGATCTTTGGCGATCTTCAGGCAATGTCTTAAACGGATTACACGGAGGAGGGCTTGAACCTGAAAACCTCATTCATCCTCACGACGGTCCTATTCATTGCTGAAATAGGTGTAGCGTAAGAGCCGGTAAGATCCTCCCCCAGCCCCACTCGTATTCTGGGGATCTGTTTCAGCTTTCCTCCCTTGAATAGTGGGGATGGGAGGAGGGGGTCTTCTGCTCTTGAGCTGACAGAAGCGTAATCATAAATCACCTACCTTGTTTGTCCTTCTGTCCTTTGGTCATAGAGGGGCTCCAGCCAACTGTGTGGTCTCACGTACCGTTGCTCCCGCTGAATAGTTTCCAAGTTTGAGGTAAAAAAATCAAATCGCACTTTTCACGGACTTATTGAGACGCTCAGAAATAAAAAATAATTAAAAATGAAAATAATAAAAAAAGTCGCTTAAGGCTAGTCAGTCCTACTCATTTTCTCCCACGTGTTTTCACAATTACCACGTATTTGTCTTTCTCTGCTTCAGTTTCTAGCTCAAAGTTGTGGGATTTTTTTCCCCAAATAATAGTAATAATAATAATAATAATAATAATAATAATAATTAAAAAAAGTTAGAAATAATAAATTAGGAGTTAGTTTCTCGTGGTCGAAGCTGAAGATCTTATTTCAAACCCCGCTAGCCAGGAGCCTGGAGAAGTTGCAAGGCAGCGTCTGAAAGTTTGAGATGTACAGCATCAGATAAAGTCTCTTTGGTGATACCTTGCTGCCCGAGTAACAGTTTCAATGAGGTTTCTCAGCAGCAGCAGCAGCAAACGGGTAATATTTTCCAGACGTCTTTTTCTTTCCTGCTGCTGCTGCTGCTGCTTTTCTGCCTCTTCCACGTTATGGGGTCTTTTAACAAGTGAGACTTGAGTTGTTTTAATAGGCGGAGGATGGGAAGAAGGAGGGGAGGGAACTCCTGTAAGGAGAAAAAAAAAAAGCAACCAACCCTGCCCATTGAAATGATCTCAGCCAAGGATTCAGCGTCAGAAATTTAATTAGCTACTTGCAAATTTTGCAGAGAAATGCAATACACATATGTTGCCACCAACTGGTTCCTCTTCATGCCCCGCAGTGGGGGCAAGCCCCCAGTTTCCCCACTCCCTGCATCCCTGGGCTTGGGGTGTGGGACTCGTCCCTCCCACAGCCACTATTCGGCTGGGACAGTTATTGCTGCTGCTGGTTTTTATTAATAAGGGAATTTCCTCTATGAATGGATGAACTTTTCAGTTTTTAATCCTGCTTTACCCATTCACTTACGGGAACATTTGTTGTAGCAAAGACCCAAGGAAGCTCCCACTGACCTTCATACCCCCACCTCTCACGTTAAAACAAGCCGGGAAACACGTTAGGCCATTTAAAAACTGGAGAACTGTGGCACGGGTTTTGATTTGGGGTTTTGTTTGGGGGGGCTTTCACTTGTTTTGTTTTAAATCAGAAATGTCCGCTCTTTTCTGTCGATGGTTCGCGGTAGCCGGGGGCACCCGCAGCTCACAGCACACCCCACTGCTGCTCGCCAGTCGCTTTCACTCGCTCCTTGTGACTCCGTTCTGCCTTAAAGGCGGATTTCCCCGCTTTCAAGCCCCCGTTTCCACTTGAAATGATACAAAAGGGGCACTGGGTGGCACTGTTGAGGCGAGTGGAGCAGCGCGGGGTCCGGGATCCCCCAGCGCCGGGCGCGGGGCCGGAGCGGGGCCGCGCTGGCGCTGCCGCGTCTCGCCGTGCCCTGGCGGGGACCCGCGGGGGAGGATGGCGGGGATCAGCTTCCCATTCCCCCGTGCTGTTTTCTCAAGGACCACAAAGGTCGCTGCTTTGAGGCGTCGCGCCCACAAAGGGAGCCGTGTCCAGACACCGTTGGGAAATCCGGAGGTGACTCTTCGCCGAGTTATCGCCTGTCGTTACCTTACCGTGTGCGAAAACTTCGGAGCCCTCTGGGGGCTTCTCATGTGCAAATAAATGTTTTAAAGTCGGTGGTTACCTAGACTGCAGATTTTTTGGGAATCTGTCTTGTGGAAGTGGTTAGAGCACAGGTGTGCTTCAAGGGGAGAGTGGCTTTAGGATGTTGCATCAAAGCCGAGATCCTTGAACGATCCATCTGTCTCAAATAACAAGTCTGATGGTAGTTTAAGTCAGTATTGTGAGCAGTTTTAACCTGGATGTGGCAGGGGAAGCAGCTGTTTCACCCTTGCCCTCACTGTCCCTTTTCCTACATCAGGAGAACTAACCTAGGTCAGAAATTAGTTACCTGGGGAGAGGGAAGAGCAAAAGTTAAGAAGTACGTTGGGCAAGGTGAAGGCAAAACAATTGCTTTTAGCAACAATCTGATTTTTCATGGTTTAGAGTGCCCTTGAAAGTACATCATGACTTAGCAAGCATGGAGTCTGTCGGGGCTTTCAGGCATTCCTCCTTTTCAGGTCTTCCTCCCTAGGCAGCCCCATTCCTATACTCCAACCACCTCCAAATGATCTGTGTCACACCATCTTTTGTTACAGAGCCTCTCTCATCAGGCAAGGGACATATTGCAGTGTCTGCTCCTAACAGGACCAGAGGACCAGAAGGGTGTCAAGAAGCTACTTGACCCCCTCTCCACAGCAGCCTTCCTACTAGCCAAATATGTAGTGTAAGCCAGGCTTAACATGACCACAGAATCATAGAATGTTAAGGGGTTGAAATGGACCTTAAAGATAATTTAGTCTCACCCCCCCCATTGCCATGGGTACCTTCCACTAGACCAGGTTGTTCAAGGCCTTATTCAACCTGGCTTTGAACACTGTCAGGGTTGGGACACCCAGAACCTCTCTGGGAAACCTGTTCCAGTGTCTAACCACCCTCACAGTTAAAAATTTCTTTCTAATACTTAACTTAAATTTCCCCTCTTTCAATTTGTACCCATTGCTCCTTGTCCTATCACTGCAGTTCATGAAGAATGATAAATGTTCGTCATTTATCCAGGCAAGGGGCTACCTCATCAAGCTCTGCTACCATCATACACGTAACCAAGTCCTTGATGTCTGCATGAGTCCTAAAGCGTCATTTCCTGATATCAGAATTTCTCTGGCACTGTCAGAGGCAAGAGAGAATTAAGTGGTAACATGGGTGTCCCTAGTCTGTCCTTCAGCATGGCTATCCTCAACACTGGGCCTTGAGGAGCTGTTGCTGCCAGTGCCTCTGGGTTCCTCGGACACTCGACTGCCTTGTCTTGATTCAGGGACACATATGTCCTGCATAGGGGACTTCACTTCTAGGATAATTTCTGAAATGAGGTTTCAGGGGGAGAGTGGGCTTGTTAGTTTGGTTAATAAGCGAATTTTACAAATTAATTTTTTCAAACGAGCATTTTTTACAAATGAACTAGCTTTTTTTTTATTCCACCTTTCAGTAATTTATATTTGTAGACTGCACGCCTCCTCTACTGATGACTGTATATTACTCTGGAAATACACAGTGTCCCATTGGCTTAATCCCATGCTCTTTAGGTTTGAGCAGGGATCAAGAGACAGAACCTGGTGAGGCGCAAATCTTTGTGCAGCAATAGCAGCACTTAAATCACACCAAAATTTTGCTTTAGAAAATGACATAATGGGAATGGTGAGTCTCTCATGTCCACAGCTATTTCCTTCTCAGCCATACCTCATGTTGTGTGATCACACTGTCAGAGCAAGTAGGATAATGTAGGTCGGTAAGTTAGGTTTGCCTACCAGGAAGGAATTAAAATTAGGAGGATATGATTAATGCCAATCCACGCAATGTTGTAGAAACCAGATGTAGATGTATTTCATTAGAACTATATCACATCTACATTTATATGTTATGTTACATCTACATGGTTACCATTATCAAACAATCCTTCTTTCTAATTGTGATTTATAATCACACGTAGTGAGGAAAAGGGAGTTCTTGGCTGTCACTGTCCACAGGCATAGATTATCACCAGCTGTAGGGGAATAATCTTAATTAACTAACCTAACAATTTTCTATTGAGACGATGGGTGTGTTTGACAGAGGTCAGACAAAATATATTTTTTGGGGAGTTTGGCATAGGCTATGGTTGAATAAATTGGTTACTGAAGATCAAATCAGTGGATGAATTGATGGCATGTAAGCCACTCTTTAGCAACCATTGAGTACTCACTTTTAGCCTGAGGGAATGGCTCCACGTGCTTTTTCCCACCTCTTCTTTCCTATCATCCTGAAAAGTATGTGAATTCTTGCCTCCAACATACACCACACACACATATGTCAATCTACTCCCTCCCTTGGACCAGCAGAGTTTGCAGTGCTTCACTGATCCCTTCAGTGACCAGTGTTGAAGGCAGCCGCCGAGCCATTTCTACGTGTGAACTGGCTGTGCAGGGGACAGGGCTGCTCTTGGGTGGAAACCAGCAGCCAGTGGTAGCTGACAGCAGGATTACCCTAAACAGCCTCTTCAGTAGCTGCCAGGAAAACAGGAGCCGAGGTGATCCCTCAGTGAAGGTGAGGGCTCTTATCTCGGATCATCCCTCAGGTAAGGATTTATACAGGCTCTTTTACTGCAGATCAGCTACTGTGTAGAGCTTATCAATAAGAAGAGCATGAAGCAAACACTTTGCAATGCATAGTTACCTTCACAGTAAGAAAATGAGAGAAAATAAGGTTCTTTGTCATGTAACAGTGAAAAGCTAAAAGAGGAAGGTAGATATATTCATACTAGACAGAAGGCATAGTTTAGTAGCAAGCTTTCTTTACACAGTTATCTGAATGATGAAGGAGAGTGGTGTATTCCTATGTTTTGAAATCCTCTGGAGGCTTTTTTGGAAGCTACATTTTAGTTCAGTGCAATTTATTAGACCCAGTACAAGAATAACTGAATGGATTTCCATAACAGGAATATCAGACAAAGTGATCTAGCAGTTCCTTCTACCCCTAGACTCCATGGAACTATCAACAACTCCGCTGACATGTCAGGTATGTTCCACACCTGTTTCCACATGTAGCAGATTCTGCTGGAAGTGAGAGAGTTACAGAAACCAATATGGGTGTAAGTGAAAGCAGGATCATGCCCTAAATTATGATTTTATGGCAACTGAGAATCCACTCACAGATTTTAATATAAATGTCATGGGCAGTTTAAGGCTCATGAAGACTGGGTGCAGACAGACCTAACACTGTGGTTGTTTTCACCATATGTAGAACCATTTTAGAGGCTTCTAGTGTTCTGCTTATTTAAATCCAAGGTTATTTATCTGCAAGGCTCTACAGGGTCCAGAGAAAACCATTGGTCTTTAAAAGGAAATCACTCTTGCAAAATTGAAACTTTCCAACAATTGCTCTTTAATATAGCAGAGAAAGTCATAACTCGAAGCAACACTTAGAAGTTAAACAGAGGCAGGTTCAGACTAGAAACAAGTCGTGCACATTTGGATGTGTACAGAACTCTTAGCTAGAATGGACTGTGACTATCAGCACAAATGCCTGTCAGGATGGTTTGAAGTAATGAGTTTTAATGTGCAACCAGCATGGAGCAGAAGGAAAAGCGGGTCAGTTAGAGGTTTCTTTTGTGAAGTCTAATTTAAGAGAAATTACTTAATCACATGCCTATAGCCTAATGTGACAGTAGTGAGAGTCCAGTTTAGAATGTCTCAATGTTAATTTTAAGTAGAAGCATTATATTCTGTGTAGGATTCATAGATAACACCACATGAAACAAAAAGCACGTGCAATTAAAGGTAGGTCTATAAACAATGACTCTACTAGTGAACTAGACTGACCAGAGCCAGGCAGCTCAAGGCTGGCACATGTTAATCCACGCTATTTCACTGCTGCCAAGCTC